GCTGAAGGGCTACTTTGGTCTTCTCTACTTCTCTCCTTGGATTCGTAAGCTCTTCCCCATCTTGGTTCTGCTCTATTTTAAATTATTATTAGCAACCTCCTTATTGCTGTGGTTTTCTTGCTTTTGAGAGCACTTTTCCTGAGCTATCAGTCCCACTAGTTTTCTTGAAGGCATGGAAGTACCCTATAGTTCCCTGCCAGCTAACAGAGCAACCAGTCCTGACTCTACAGAAAAAAAGAAAAAACTATGTTATGGTGTTCATTTCTTAAACAAAACTCCCATTTTTAAAAGGCATTTTCCTTTTTGTTCAGCACTTAACCAGAAGAGATGGAAGTGTATTAAGCACACAGAAGCCACAGCCTGGAAGTCACAGCACACACGTTGGTGATCCTGCTATCAGACACCAACTGCCAGCTTGACTTTTACAAAATGGGCCATAAGGGAGGAACAGAGATGTACATTTTCTAAACCCTAGAGGCAGACAGAGACTTAACAGGGAAAGAAAGGCTGATGATAATTTTCCTCTTAAAGGATAAATTAAATATGCTCTAGAGACTGTAGTTTATGCAGAAAATTGCTCTGCTGTTCGTTAAAGAGAGATGTTAACAGTAGTCCACATGCTGGCATTTACACACTATCATAAACCTTAAAGACCAAATTCACTGCAGACCAGCAATATTTGCCCCATGTAATGCGTAGCAATCCTAAACTTTTATATTAATTACTAAAGAAGTAGACTGTATAACCTCATGATTTTTTTAATAGCAAGAATGTGACTGAAAACAAAAAGAGTTCTTACCTCATTTCACTGAAAAGTTCTCCGTCAGTACCAAAGGCAATATCAAGAGGAGGAACTAGTGTCTGCATTGAAAAGGCCACAAGGCACAACTCTCGAATCAAAGTGCTGATCACAATGAAATCAATTTGTGGTGGAAATGAAATTTTTGGGTTGATGTTCATGGAGCGAATTACTTCCTGAAAATAAACACAATGGAAGCTCGCTAACTGTTATTCACAGACAAGTGTGGAAATTCCTCCTAAATAAGCCTCTCAGCTTTCTACATTTGAAGTATCAGAAGTTCCCTGCAATGTTCTCTTAGGCTATTCCTGAAAGCAGTAACTTCAGAAAGAATGTGCTGTTATTTTAGAAATAAAGTACGAGCTGCATCACTGTCATCAATCTTAGAGGGAGATGCAGTTTTTTCAGTAGAGCACAGAATTTAAGAAAAATATTAATATTTAATATTAAATTTCCATTACAATTATTACAGTTGATTAAAACAATTACATTGTATCTTGCTGAAAATATTATTCTGGCAGACAGATACATTGTAGCCACAGGCAAATAAAACAAGTGATTACTGAGTAATACCACACTATTATTTTGGAAAATAAACTGCTATAAGACATAAAATCCACACGATTTACTCTTTTTTTAACCCCTCCCCCTTCTTCAGGTTGCAAAGCCCTTCCAGTATGCAGTCTGAACTTATCAGCTACTGAAATAGATGAACATTGTGACTCACATTGACACTGGCTTGAACATCATATAGATCGTCATGGCGAACAATATAATCCAGGACAGTGTCTTCAAGTGACTCAGGCCCCGAGTGACCTAGAGACAGAGTCTCTCTTACACGTATTCTGAACTTCCTGTAGGCCATCTTCGCTGCACGAAAGGACTCCTGCAAACATAAAGAGCATCTAGTTATCTGAGAGGATAAACTTAGCCCAGTATCATCATTGTAAGAAGGAATATAAAACCCTTCTGTAAAAGCAAAAGCTAAAAGCACTCATCTGGGAGGACTTCTGTGATTAAATCGAGTGCGATTTATTTGCAGAAGACAGGACTGAAAAGTTTCCCACCTAACCTTCTATTTTTATGTAGTGTTTCATCACACACCCACAATCAACAGAATCACATTCAAAGATATCAAGAGCAGAATTCAGCAATAGCATTTTACATGTCACAGCCTAACATGTCAGACAGGCGCACCTCTTGTCTGTCGAGAGGAAAGGTGGAATTGGAGTTTGTAAACTGAATGACAGTTGTGAGAAAAAAAACTTCAGGAAGTTAAATGTGCTTGGGATCAAACACGTCGAGAGACACATTGCCTCTCTGACACAGGTATGTACTACATCAATTTTACAGAAAAGATTAAGTACAGAAAAATGAAAATAAACTTCTTCACACTGAGCTCAAATAAAGGTAAGGGATCTAGGCAATTTCAATGGACCCTATAAAATGAGAACACTTTGCACACTGCTACAGGCAAGAGGGAAGCATGATACGGAAGGACTTCCAGTGTTCCAACATGTAGTACAATTGAAACAAACGAGGTTGTATTGTTTTGTGCAAGAATCATCTACCTTTCAGAACCATTTGGTCTCTTATGCACTCCTTTTAGCACAGGTGCTGTATGCAGATCACTGACCCTGTTCAAATGCTGGGACAGGACAGTCAGAAAAAGATATTAAATTGAGAGTTCAGTGTAAAAGTGTGAGGGAAAGAAAGGAAAACCAAAAGGGAATAAAGAAAAGAGGTTTTCTTCTCCATACTTCACAGAAATGCTGATTTACATACAATTTAATCCAATCCAGTCACAATATTTTATAAAACACTTCTGAACCATAAAACATGGAATATTATCTTTTTCTTACCACAGCTGCAATGTATATTATCCTCTGCACCTTCTCAAGGTCGCTGATGTATGTACTCAAAAGGTTCTCTGCATCCAAACGCTCTTCAGCATAGATGTTACTGAAGCGAGCTACCAGGCAGGCGCGACGCGAAGCATTCGTACGCTTGGCTCGGCCAGGAGAGCTGCTCCTCAGGGGAAATGAACTAAGTGACTTGATCTCAGTGCGCCTCGGGGAAGGAGAGCGGCTCCGTGCAAGCCTACGAGAGACACGTCAAGAAGCGTGAGGTCATTTCTCCATTCTCTGACACTTTTGCCTAGCGCACGGTTTTGTGTCGCTTTAATTATTACCGGGGTAAGCTGAGATTTTGAGCCAACATAATTAAAGAAGTAAAGCCACAGCTGGTTAGTCTAATGTGAAGGCATTTGTGTCAATATATTTTATGGACTGGAGCCTGAGCAATAAAATTAAAGTAATTCTTCAAATTACAGCCAAGCATTTTGTGTACAGCACTTTGTGTACAGCCAAGCATTTTGTGATGAGGAAGTACACTTTTAACTAGTAATACTTTGAAGATTTGTTCTTCTTTAGTGCCACTGGAGAGCTGTAAAGTCAAACAACTGAGAATACAAGTTCTGCTCTGCGGTGATACAGTATCAAAGTAATTATAAAAGCTTAGCTTTTGTTTATACTTTAGTATCAATTGAGGAGGGAATTCATGGTATCCAACACAAACAATTTCTCTGATTCAGTGACTTCTCTGAATAATACCTCTACCTGCTCTGAAGAACAGAATTTCGGGCATCCAGGATAGAAATTTCATCCCGCAGTATCTGAATCTGCTGCTCATAGTCATTCAGACGATCTAACTTCCTCAAAGTGTCTTTCTCTTGAGCACAGGAAGTCTTCAGACTTAATCACACAGAGTAAAGTCAGTCACAAGACATAATTCTACCAATGCAAACCATCCATCAATTAATCCTCATTATCAAACAAAAAGAACAGAAAAAAGAGGAGAAAAATTGAACAAGCTCCTTATTCTGAAATACAGGGAAATCAAGAGTTTTTAAAAAGCATAATCTTAATTGCACTTTAAAACATAAAAGTGTGCTGTGGCAGGAGACTGAATACACTGTACTTTAGGTTACAGGAGAGATCACTGGTTAACATTTGGTCTCCTCAGATTGAGGCCTAAGAAAGAAATTGGCTCCTTTCTCACACATAAGATGTTAACTAAACCAGCTCAGTTTTCTTTCCTGCAGTTTAAGACTCTAAGCATTTTCTTCTATCACGTCCTTGGGTTCTTTGCTAGAATATACCAGTCAGTCAAAGGATACCACCAATGACATTCCCAAAGTAATACCAAAAGCTAATGATTCCTCTCCTGCTCTCCCCAAGAGAAGCAGTGTTTCTTAAACACTGACAGACAAACAGTTAAGAAAGTTTCTGTTCTGTCATTTACTCTTACTTAAGGTTAGAAAGTATCCCAACATTCCTGCTTTCCCTCCCAACACAAGTATTCGTCATCATCATAGAATGGCCTAGGCTGGAAGGGACCTTAGAGATCACCTAGTCCAACCTCCCTGTCATGGGCAGGGACGCCACCTCTCGATTACTATTGTTTTCCTCTTTGCAAAAGAAAAAACAAATAATAAAAGAAAAATGGGTGCTGCTTACTAATTTTGGAGGTATTAAGCCTGTTTTTCTTTACTGAAGGACCCTGGTGAGATTTTTGAGGATCTGAACGAACAAAAGGTGTAACACCTATCAACTGCCAAGCTTCCTGTCCTGGCACGTTAAGGTGCAGGCTGACTAAGAGGACCAGAGGTCATAATGCCAACACATGTGTGAAGAGGAAAGACTGTCCTTCTGGCCAGGTTAGGAAAAGCTGCAGCTATTGTTTTAAAGCAATTTTAAAGCAATTATTTATGGTCTTTTTCTCACTGCTGAGAGATCACAAAGCTAAAAGACAAAGGTGTATAAAGATAGACAGACTGAAGTGTCTTTTATTTCACACACACTACTTCCAAAGAGCATCATAGCAAATTGTGAGCAATAGTTCCCAGCTACATTCAGAATATGGTTCTCTATTTGACTTCATCTACAAGATACAAATGCTATCAAGGTGTTAGCTTCAAAGTAATCCTTCTATCCTAAAGGGGGGAAAAAAAAGGAAAAAAAAAAAGGATAGAAGCTCAGGCATAAGGGTTCTTCTCACATGGACCTGCTTATGCTAATTCACTTTCTCAGGGGGAATGGTTGCAAGTTGCAACAGGGCAAGTTTAGGCTGGACATTAGGAAGAAATTCTTCACAGAAAGAGTGGTCAGACACTGGAATAGACTGCCTGGGGAGGTGGTTGAGTCGCCATCCCTGGATGTGTTCAAGTGTCATTTAGATGAGGTGTTGTGTGATATGGTTCAGGAGTGACCTTGTAGTGTAGGGTTAATGGTTGGACTCGATGATCCCAAGGGTCTTTTCAAACCTGAATTGTTCTATGATTCTTCCTACAACAGCAAGAAACAAAGCCACAGGATATTAAGGAACTAGACCTATTTTTTGCTATACCATGGGACACTATAGCATAAACAGAACCCACTCAGGCAAATGACAGACTGTCTCTGGATGCTTTCTGCCACAAATACCTCAAGATTCAATTTTTCTTATGCTGCTCTTAGCTGAATAATTTCATCTCCCACTGCCAAAAGAGTAGTGGCTGGTTTGGTCTTTGTGTTTTCAAGAGCCAACTGAGTTTTTGCCAGAATGCAAAAATTAACAACTTTCATGGTAAAGGTAGAGATTCTTTCAGAGCATTTAATATGACAAACCAACTGTTTAAGCATAACAAGTCCATAACAATTCAACATATGAAAACAATCTCAGTAGGCTTTGAGCAGTCTACCAGCAAACAAATAGCTTATAAAAAGTCTTATCTGACTATGCAATAACAAAATTATTTTCCAATGAACTATTATTTTTCATTAAGGCTCAATTCCAATCTCTCCATCAACTTCACCAACTACCAGTGCTCGGAATTACTTCACTGTCCGTAGGTGGGGTATCTTGGAACATGAATTTTCTTTCTCCCACACCTGTCCCCTGCCCACCAACAGCTACCCAATCACAACTCCGCACTGCATCACCTCAAAGGGATCAGTTCTGAAACTTTCACACATTACTTCATCTCTGCTTGAATTACCTCTTCCCAACCCTTCGCCTTCCAGACTTCTACCACAGCCAATAGTTCTCTGACCTGACCACAAAGAGAAATGTAGCCCACAAAATTGTACAAAAGCTTTACCACTGATTTCCCACTTCTTTCAAGAGGTAGCCCAAAACTACTTTTTCTTGTACTACAAACTGTCACATGTTCAATCTGTATTAGTGACTATCCTTGTACTGCCACCTTGAGCATCCAACACTTTTCTTCAGCTCATCAGATAATTTCTTTCTGTCCACAGAGAAGCATAGGATGAAACTTGTCACCACTAAATCAACATTTATATATGCCCAAACCAAAAAATGTTTGAGGCTGGAAGGGACCTCTGGAGGTCATCTGGTCCAATGCCCCTACTCAAGCAGGGCCACCCAGAGCCAGTTGCCCAGGACAATGTCCAGCTAGCTTCTGACTATCAATAAGGATGAAGACTCCACCACCTCCCTGGGCAACTTGTGCCACGGATCAATCATCCTCACAGAAAAAAAGGGGTTTCCTGACATTCAGGGAGAACCTCCTGTGTTTCAGTCTATTCTCACTGCCTCTGGTCCTGTCACTGGGCACCACTGGAAGTCACCTGGCTCTGTCTTCTTTACACCCTTCCTTCAGTTATATACATCAATAAGATCCACTAATCTCCCATAATTCTTCACTATAGTTAGAAACATCAACAGAAAATAACTCCTTTACTTATTAAACCTTCAAGGCTGGAATTATTTTGCAAGAATACCTAATTCTGGCAAACTAGTTGAAGTGTCAAGAACAAAAACCTTTCTTGTCTTCCAATCATTGTGGGGTCCTCTGTCCCATCTTGTTACTTTTGATACCTAATGTGTGCTGCAAGATCAAAGACATTTTTGCCATCTTATCTTCTTTTCAGGGGGATGCATTGATCTTTAACTTCCTCAGAGTCAACTCAAGAGATTTCTTTAAAAGTAAAAAATTAGAATGCCCACATTCATCCAAGATGAGACATAACATGTTAATATGTGCTGGTGAATAAGGGAAGGACAAGTGATGTAATCTCTCTTGCCTTCTGCAAGGCCTTTTGACACAACATCCTTGTCTCTAAATTGAAGACATGGATTTGATGGAAGGACAAGGAATTGGCTGGATGGCTGTATCCAAAGGGTTGGAATCAACACCTCAATGTCCAAACAGAGATCAGTGACAAGTGGCTTCCGTCATGGGTCTGTACCGGGAGTGGTACTGATCAGTATCTTTATTAAGGACACTGACAGCAGGTTTAAGTGCACCCTCAGCAAGCTGATACATCTGAGGGATGCCATTCAGAGGGACTTTGACACACTTGAGGAGCTAGTCCATGTGAATCTCCTTAAGTTCAACTAGGCCAAGTGCAAGGTGATGCACCTGGGTCAGGGTAATCAGTAGTATCAGTACAGACTAGAGGAAAAAAAAAAAAAAAACAGATTAAGAGCAGCCCTGTGGAGAAGGACTTGGAGATGGTGGTAGATGAAAAACTAGAAGTGAACTGGCAATGTGTGTTCACAGCCAAAAAAGCCAACTGGGCTCCATAAAAAGAAGTACAGCCAGCCGGTCGATGGAGGTGATTCTCCTCCTCTGCTCCCCTTCCATGAGACCCCACCTGGAGTGCTGCTCTGGAGTGCCAAGCGCAAGAAAGATATGAAGAAAGGCTGAGAAAATTGGAATTGTTCAGCTTGGAGAAGAGAAGGCTTTAGTGAGACCTTACTGCAGCCTTTCAATACTTAAAGGGTGCTTATAAGAAAGATAGTGATGTTATTTTTTACCCCCATCCTAGTTATAGGACAAGGGGTAATGATTTTAAACTCAAGGAGAGAACATTTAGATTGGATATAAAGAAGAAATTCTTTATGATGAGGGTGGTGAGACATTGGAACAAGTTGCCCAGAAGTTGTGTGTGCCCCATCCCTTGAAGCATTCAAGGCCAGGTTGATTTGATCTTTGAGCTACGTCATCCAGTGGAAGATGTCCCTCTCAACAGCAGAGGGGTTGATTCTTTGATGGTCCCTTCCAACACAAATCTTTCCGTGATTCTACAGTTCTATGAAAGCAGGAGACATCTGCAAGATTAGGATACAGGATGAAACATTCTGTTGAACTTCTTTAATCCAGCTATTCTGAGAATTTTATATGCTTGGAAACACTTAGTAAGAGCATTAAGTTACATCACTTATTGTGCTGACCCAAGGACCATGAACATTCATTGTTCTCAGGCTAACAGAACACATGAGAAAGCGTCTATCACTTCGAGTTGCCTCTGAAATGGCCCTGGAACTGGCACTAACTGCACAAATTTGTTTCTGAAGCAATTAAGCCATTTTGAGATTGCAGTACTCCACAAAACGTGTTTCATGCAACTGGACAAAAACTGTTCAGTCCTTGTCACTTATTCGAGAATCTTTCTCTCTTTCTTCCTCTGTCTTAACCCAGCGGTTTTGATCTTCTTAGACGTTCACATGCCAATTACATGCCATAACTAATTACTGAAGGGCCTACAATATGTCGTAAGGGTTGCACTATAGCTACTCCATTGATTTTTATTAAGGTTTGCTCAGCACAGAACAGTTCATTGACAGGTCATGCACTGTACAAAACCCTTTTATTTAGAATGCTGGCATGTTTTCCAACTCCTATGCCAGAAGCAAAACCTAGGAAGTCAATTTATAGATGCAGATATGACTGTATTATTTGTACCCCACTTTGGACAATCCAAAGCCTGGATGCACTTTGAAGCTCTGATTTTAAGCCAGAAATGAAACATTATACAAGTCTCCATCAGTATTTAGATGTCAAAAGGAAAAATACGGCTTGTTGAATAACACAAAACCCAAAAAGAAACCCAGTTAATTCCCCTACTCTTGTTGTACATGGCTGAGCTGTAGACGAGTTGAAGCCAGCTGTTCCTGCAGCTCTTGCAGTTGAAAACTCTGATCGCTGGCCAGGTCTCTGAGCTGCCTCTCTTTCTCAATTGAATCCTACAACAAAACACAAAATCATGACATTTGAATGTTCTTCCTCACAGAATTGTTCAGCATTGTAGTACAGCATTATCAGCACGTACATTTCTAAACACTTCAGTAAGGACCGTTTCTAAAGCAACTGAAAACTGAAGAAATTGCATACCTTCTAGAAACATAAGCAATATCTCTCAGGCAAAGAACACAAAGATTCAATTATATTACGAAAAATATTCTCTTCCTTTACACCTCATGACAGAGAGCACGGGAGGTCTGCACATGCATATTTACTACCTGTATGCACATCATCTGAACAAAGCGTTCTTGCAGACATGTTGTTGTTTGGGTTTTTTCCAGTCCTCTTCTGACCGACTGTATCATTAACTCAAGCAAAGTTTTGGGGAATTCATGTACACAAAGTAACAGAAAACATTATTGGAACAGAGGAGGTCATTCTAGAAACCACATTACTACACATGCAGCCTTGTCTTTAACAATAGAGAGATTTACCCGATACTACCAGAATTAAATGTGCAGCAGGCTTCTCATTAAACTCTGAATGTCACATGCAACGACAAACCCATAATTGGTGTAACAGATGTATTGTCATTTAATAAGATTGTTATTCTTTTTTTTTGTTTTTTTTTTTGGTGGAACCCTACACTCCCATAATACACTAGAACCTGACTCTTAAGGGCTATCACTTTTCATTTTCCTTATTTTGATTGTGAAAGATTTTGACAGAGGAGGTGTAAAAAGTCAGAGAACATGGAGATATCACTGTCAAATCTTGAGACCTTCAGTGTTTTCCCTTAGTCTGCATTAACCAACATTCTTTTCTTCCAAAGCAGCAGCTCTGGAAGCAGCTCTATCTTTTCTGCCAAGCTGTTAGTACTACAACCCTTTTGGTAAATATCAAATACATACTAACTCCAAACACCAAGTCAGGTATGTGGTGCTATTATTATGGACATGAGCACTTTTTTCCTCCCTTCTGGTGATATTATGATGCTCAAATACTAAACAAAGATATTTTTTTTTCTTCAGAAAAATGAAAGGAATTCACAGATATGTGCATAAAGTCTATACACACCTTCAGCTTTTCATTAATAGAGATATGGAATAAATACTTCTATGATGTCTTTACAAATCTAAGAGTAGCATAATTCTCCACCTAGAAAGGGAAAGCAGTACAAGAACACGGCTTCTCTTACAAAGCAAACTGCTCCATATTGTCACTCATTGTGAAACACCATAAGCCCTAGAAGGCTCAAAGTAACTTTAACGACCTCTTTGATTTTCCTTTCAAAAGAAATGTAAAATGAGAGAGAGACAGAAGTAGCACCGCTCTCTCCACAGTTGTCTCCATAAGGACATATTTCATTAGACATATTTCATTAGGCAAAATCAGGGAGGGGGCCTATTATTAACAGAAAGTCCTTAAAGCTCTCCTGCAGGTATAAATTCATATTGTTCTATTCCATTAGAATAAAATTTCCTACATACCTGAATGAGAGAAAGGTTGGTTTCAAAGAGCTTTTCGGAAGTCGCACAAGAAGAACAATTCCCTAGCCACGGCAGGAGACGAGTTTTTATGGTTTCCACACCTGCATAATGCCCACATAAAGAAATTATAAGACCACTTACAGTAAGAGCTAGAGCTTGAAAAGATAGCACATGTGAAATGTGTTAGTAATAAGATAGGGCACTAATTTACCTTCTCGAGATGTTTCATTGAGGATCGTGAAGAGCTGCTTTTGAATATCAGAGTTCAATTCTATTATTTCACAGCATCGGTTCAGATTCTGATCACAGGTATTAATCTGTAAGTTAATGCGTATTAATAGATCTGCCTGAGGTTTCTTACTGAAAATTATTCTTGCTACAATCACGACTTCTTTTCCCCCCCCCCCGTATAATGACATCTTCACAACCTTTTCTTACTGCATCTACTAGAGTACTCACCTTTAAAAAGTTCACATTGTTAATGGGCAAAATGACATCAGCACTTCTATCACCCAGTTAATTCTCTAGCTGAGAAAACTTACTCTTTTCCCCATTCATTAAGAAGATACAACCATAAATATTTCTAAAACAAGAGTCATAATTACGTTAAAATCTTTCAACACAGTTTTTAAAACAAGAAGGAGATTGTTGGATGAGTATATTAGTCCAAAATCTTATTTTTCATATCAGCTGAAATAATACATAAGAGGCTTTGCCAACAACCACAAGGCCTCCATGGAATTTAATCGGATTTTTAAGAGACTACTGAAGAATGGACAAAATACAAACACTATGCCTAGGAAACAACAGAATAGCAAAACTGCATCACTTCCAGCAAATGCAGTTCTGAAAAGGAGTTGATGGGGTTAATCTGTCCAGAATGCTACTGCACCTTGCCAGGAGACCACATACTTTGTACCTGCTTCCTTAATCTTTATCCATAACCTGTGTACCATCTTCAGTGTAGATCACCCTCTTGGTCTTCAAGCTTTAACGGCTCCATATGTCTTTTACAAGCTTCCAAAACGGCTAACCTCCCCCCCCATGGCCGTGTCAGCTTGTATTTTGATTGCTGCAACATGCTTTCCTCTGTCCTCAAGGAGCACAGTCTCACTCTGCTAACCTCCACCAGAACACCACCGAAAAGTGCTTTTTTCCAGCTCATTACGTTAACATACCACCCATGATGCTTCCATCTGTCAGCTCCTCTTTTTTTACAACGGCAGCTTGAAACCGCTCCTCTTCATTTCCCAAGACTTCAGAGACTATCCCCACCTCACTTATTAGAGTTCAGCACTCACAATTGCTTAGACACCCTCCCTCCACACACACAGGTCTACCTCCACCACCCATTTGCAAGATTTAAGACGCATTCCTGTTCTACACTCTGTGCTAGCTACCCTCAAACTCCACCTTAAAACTACCCTGTGCCATGAATCCTGCCGAGTGTTACAGTGGACTATTAATACTCTCACTCCTACATACCACAGAGCGGAAAAAAAGAACCGACTTCCCTGGAAGAGGCTGCATCTCTGCTCAGCACCTTTTCTCACCAACCACAGCACACAGCCTATAGTCACAGGCTCATGACAAATCACCTCTCAGTGTCCTGAAGCTAATGAAACTTGGAAACACGGGAGGGAGAACTCTACATTTTCAGCTGAGAAAATTCACAATCATCAAGTTGCAGGTCCCTTCTTCTCATCTTTCTCTAATTTTACGCCTTCTCTACTGCTTTCACTGTTTTGCATCCTTAGTCTCCTATTGCCTCTTACTCTTTCCATGCATCTCATTACATCCACATGCAGCCCTCTCGTCACCCACACCTGAAACGCTTGTTCTCCCCTTCCCAAGTCCTTCTGCAGCTGTGGCTGCCTTGCAGCCTCCTCTCCGCTCTCGCAGTTTCCCACCCAGAGGAGCTGGGATTGGCCCGTTCTCCCTTTCAGCATCCTTTTTCCTCCCATTCCCCTGACTTTTCAGGCCATGAGTGGTTCCTTCCAAACACACCCTCACCCGCGTTCCCTGTCCCCCTGTACTGGGCACTGGTGAGGCCACACCTTGAGTGCTGTGAGCAGTGCTGGGCTCCACAGTACAGGAAGGACATTGAGGTGCTGGAGAAGGTACAGAGAAGGGCAACCAGACTGATTAGGACACTAGAGGGGAAGAATTATGAAGAGAGGCTTAGGGAGCCGAGGCTGTTCAGCCTGGAGAAGAGGAGGCTGAGGGGAGACCTTATCGCTCTCTACAACTCCCGGAAAGGCAGCTGTAGTGAGACAGGTGTTGGCCTCTTCTCCCCAGTGAATAGTGACAGGACAAGAGGGAACGGGTACAAGTTGCACCAGGGGAAGTTTAGATATTAGGAAAAACTTCTTCACCGAAAGGGTGGCGAAGCACTGGAATGGGTTGCCATTTTGCGTCACCATCCCTGGATGTGTTTAAAAACACCTGGATGTGGCACTTCAGGAGACAGTGTTAGGGTGCTGTAGGGCTGTAGGTTGGACTTGATCTCAAAGGTCCTTTCCCACCTTTACAATTCTACGATTTTACCACAAAACTCTTCTCTGATCCAGACTCAGTCATTACAGCTCAAACACCGGTTTTAATCCCCAGCCCTTGTTTTCAGCGAACCTTGTCACAGGCAATTAAAAAATATAAAAGAAAAAAAAAAAGGACTGAAGCTGTGTGCGTTATCACGCACCGGCTGCTAAAATCGTGATAACCGAGTGCATGTCTGGGTCAAACGGGGCTTCT